AAGACGTATACATCCTTTTCAACAGGACATACTATTTGAAAAATTCACCATGTATCAAAATAAGTTTCAGTAAATCTTAAAGTGACTTATTCTAATAGGCCACATTCTCTAGTTAAGTTGGACATTAAAACAAATTTTCAACTTCAGTTAGACAATTTAAAAAAAAAAAATCTACCAGTGGGGCCAAGGATCTAGCCCAGTGGTTTCACCACGTGCTGTGCAAGCGCAAGGACCCGAGTTTGATCCCCGGTACCAAAAAAAACCAAAAAACCTACCAGCCAGTTATGGTGGCACACGCCGGTAATCCCAATGACATTCTGTCTGGGAGGGTAAGGCAGGAGGACAAGTTGGAGGCCTATCTGGGTACAAGTCCTTGTCTCAAAAAGTAAAAAGGGGTGGGAATTAGCTCAATGTGAAGGCTCTAGGTTTAATTCCCACTACCAAAGAAATAATTAGATAAAAAAGAAGCAACTTCTAAATAGCTTTCATGTTTAGAAATTATAAAATATACCTATATTGAGCCATGGGTCAATAAAGAAATTACATTTGAAATTGAACCAATTTTTAAAACTAGATAATAAAAAGTCTGTATGTGTAGTTTGGTATCTAGGGTGTACTTTGTAGGTGTAAATGTTAAAATCAGTAAACAGAAAACTAAAATTAAGTATCTATACTACCAAGTCAGGAAATTTACAAAAGAGCAACAGAATAATCTTGAAGAGAGTAGGAGGGAATATGTGAGATAGATAATATATGTTAATATTATGTAATATAATCTTGTTCTTATATAGTACACAAGAATGAAAGATATGTAATATATAACAAAATTAAGGAAACAGAGTAAATACTGTTAACAAAATTAAAATCTGATTCTTTGAAAATACTAATAAAAGAAGAAAGAAAACACTAGTTAAAGGAAAAAAGGCAGATTTCTGAGCCAGATAAAGGAAGGTATGTATAAAATAATACTTGGGATGAAAAAAAGGGACATTGTGGATAAAGACATCGGAGATTAAAATATACTAACACTGTGAACTGCACTTTGTCAGTATATTTGAAAACCTAGATAGTATGGATAATTTCCTTGAAAAATATAGTGTGCAAAAATGGATTGAAAAAGAAAACAGAAAAGCTGAAGAGGTCCATAACCACTAAGGAAATAGAATCAGTAGTTAAAATCAACCTGTGAAATGGCTTTCCCAGACTCAGACATTTTACTGGAAAGTTCTACCAAATATTCAAGGAACACAATTTCAATCTTAAACACCCTGTCCCAGAAAATGTAAAAGAAGGAACATTTACCAGTTCACTTTAGGAGGCCTGTGGAACCAAATGAAGGTACCATGAAAGGGTAAATTGCAGCCAGTTTGACTCACCAACATGGATACAAAAAATCCTAGAATGAAATTAGATGTTGATCTCCGTTCATTCATTCATTCGACCACTCATCCATCCAGTCAGCAATTATTATCGGTTGTCACCTACGCACCAACAAGCACTGTGCTGGTACAAGGAGAGCAACAATGGACGGGAGCCTGTGGCTTGGTGGAGAAGATGGGCAATAAAGCAAATGATCACAGAGGGCAAGGTACACAGAGGACGTTCTGGCAGGTTAACAGTGTGTATCAAGGGCAGCTGACCAGGGCAGAGCTCTGGGAAAGCTTTCCAAGCACACGAGTGGACTAAGAGACGTGGGAAGACTGTTTTGGAGGCTACTGCAGGGCCTCAGGTGGGAGATCTGGGATCAGTAGGAGGGATCCTCAGCAGGTGACACCCTGAGACTCTCCTTCCTGATGGACTTGTACATGGGAGGGGGCAGGGAGAGCGCTCAATCTTGGTGTCTCCTTTGACAGCGGACTGTCAACTGACAGAAGGAACCCTAAAAAAGATTCAGATTTAGGGCAAAAGAGCACGCATGTGGTTTTGGACACGTTGGGTTTGGAGAACTTTTAGAAGTGTTAAATGGAGATGCTGAACAGGAAACCTCTTTGGGAAGGTCAGGGCTGGAGATTTAGGGTGGCATCAGTATGTAGGAGGTATTTCAACCCATCCCACCAAAATTCACGCCCAGGGAGGGTGTGTGTCTGCAGGAGCAAAGAGGGCTGGAGACGAACTTCAATATTTAGAGAGGCAGAAGAGGAGTCAGGATAAAGAGACAAAAGAGGGAAGGGCTGCTGAAGGATGAGGGAAACCAGAGGAGGGTGGCACCAAGAGGGCTGGGGAAAGAGTCTGCAGACAGGACTGTGCACCAGTGTTAAGACTAGAGAGCTAGTCTGTCTCCATGCTGCTAGGCTCCTCCAGATGCAGGGTCACTCACTACACTGAGTGAATGAGCTGCAGACTACGCGCTATTAATAATAATCTATTATAAATAACAGTGGAAAGGGACAGTGAGAGAGTTTCTTGGGACAGTGAAATTGTTCTGCATCTTGATGCTGGTGGTGGTTACACGATTCTGCGCATTTGTCAAGACTCATAGAATTATAGAGCAAGACAAAGTCTGGGGCTATAATGTTACTAACTATAAATTAAAAATAAGTAAAAAAACTTTAGCGATGGGAGACTTCAATCTAGTCCTTTCTCAGCCACTGACTTGGTCACCTCAGGGCTAGTGTTTGTCAGAGTTTCACTCATCTCACCACTTGTGGGCTTGTGTAGGCCTATTTCAGGAAGAAAAGCACCCACTGTCACCTTGTGAAGGACAGAACAAATATGCAGGCAGCAGAAAAAACAGCACTGGACTGATGGCCAGAGCCCGTCCCAGGAATTGGCTTGGGGGTGGGGGTGGAGGAGATAGAGCCTGCAAACTTGGCACCTCGGAGACCCTGAAGTAAAATGAGCTAAGAAGGGCCTGTGCTGTTGTAAAAATCCAAAACCACAGCGCAATGACTCTGTTGTCTGCATGTTGTTACTGAGAATAACCAGAACAACTACCATTGTAACAACTGGCTATTCAACAGGTAAGATGATTTGAGAAGCAGCTCGGGAGGGACAGGAAGTGCTTGGGTTTGTGGTTTAAACCTTTAAAGTGCCTTCTAAAGATCATTTTAAGTAATGATCAGTAATGAAAGTGACCCGTGTAAGTTTGCAGTGTAAAACTTGTTCACCTCTAACACTTCACCCCCACCTCACCCATCCTGTCAGGGAGATATTATCTTCAATTTAGAGGACAGGGAGGTTGAGGGTCTGTCACCTATGGCTTTGGCTGCTGTTGAGATTTTCCAAAAGTTCCACGTTTCTAGGACCCACAATGGATTTGATACACAGTTTGGTGTTGAGTGTATTCCATTGTCTCCTAATCCTATGAAAATTAACGGAAAAGTGTTAACTGGGCATCAATTCATGCTCCACATTAATCTGAGTATTTGATGAACCACAACTTTATGCTGCTCATGTCATATTAATTTAGCTTAATTGCAATAACGTAAAACAATAAGGATAATTGTATCCTTATTGTTACTCCTTATTGTTTTAAATACCCCATGAATTGAATCCAGCCTGAATCTGGCCAGTACGTAACCTACTGGAGAAGTGAGCTTTGGGAAGCTAAAAACACCGTCTTTTTGGAGTTCTCATTGTATACAGAGGAGAAAGCAGCATTTATTAAGCTCCTACTGTTGCCAGGACTCGTGAGGCACCTTCTACTCCTCATGGTCATGAATGAGGGGCTGGGGGTTAAAGCCTTCTGCCACGCCAGCGACCTCCCCACCCAGGTCCTGAGAAGTCCCGGGCTGTTTCAATCTCGTGCACGTTACTATCTGAACATAGAAAGCTTGAGTAACTTGAGAAATAATAAAATAGGTAACAGACCGCTCGGAGAGGGCGTTCCTGAAATAACCACTCTTCCCAGCCATCCTGGAGCCGCTACAAAACTCCTTCTCACTGTAGAGACATCATCTGCTTTGAGCCCCAATCATTTGACCTTGCCACTCCCCAGCCTATTTTATGATTTTTAAAAAACGTAGTGGGATCAACGCGGAGACCCTTTCTTTGGCACCTTCTCCCCACTGGAATCGCGACAGTTTCTTTAAGTTCCAAAATAACCTTTCCCGGGCACTGATCCGTACCTCTGCGGGGAAGGGCGGGGAGCCGCGCAGGACGTGCCGGTGTGGAGCGAGCGCCGAACTTGCAGCGCGAAGGCAAAATAAAACTTGTGGCTGATGTTTGTGCTGGGGGTTCTCCGCCATCCTGAAGCCCCCCCTCCATCCCGATCCTGGGGTGGGGGGGTCTCGGGGGCCTCCCGAAGAGCTCCAGGGTGTGGGTTTGCTCCCGACGTCCTTGACCTAAATTTCTGCGCGGTGGCTGGAAACAGGACGCAGAGCTGGGCGGGCAGCTGGGGGCCATCCCCGATCCCGGCGGCAAGGCCCGGCGAACTTGAATGGAGAGGACGGACTCGTGGGGGGGTGCGGGGGGCGACTTCTCCCGGCCCGGGTGAGGAGCGGCGGGCGGCTCTGCGCACCTCCCCCTCTCCCGATCTTCCTGGCCCCCCCCCCCGCAGCCCATGTGATCAGGGGAGTCGGGGTGCGCTACCCCCCCTCCGTCAGCGCCCCGCCGGCCGGGAGGCGGGGCCCCCTCAGGCCCTGGGGTTCGCGCGCCGCCCCCGTGGGTCCAGCCACGGGGGCCGAGTGTGCGCGCGCGGGCAGGCGGGGCCCGCCCCGGGGTGCGTGACGTCACCGCATTGGTTACACGACGTTCTAGAACTCCGCCCCACGTGCGCCGGGGAGGAGGGGGGAGGAGGAGGAGGAGGAGGAGGAGGGGATGGGGGTGGGGAGGAGGAGGGGGAGAGGTGGGGATGGGCCGGGGGGGGCGGGGACGGGGACAGGGGGTGTGCGAGGCGGCGGGGCTGAGCTAAGCCGAGCCCACGTGTGACGGCTCTCGCCGCGGCCCCGGCTCCGCGGCTCGCAGCGCGATTCTGAGGAGCCCGGGCGGGGGGGCCGAGGAGGGGGAGGAGGGAGCGGAGATCTGGGGCTCGGAGCCGGCCGCCGCTCCGCTCCGATCGCTGTGGGGCTCGGTGTGTCGGGGGTGGGGGGGCGGGGGGGCTCCGCTATGGAGGCAAATGGGAGCCAAGGCACCTCGGGCAGCGCCAACGACTCCCAGCACGACCCCGGGTAAGTTTCCAGCCGCTGCCCACCGCGCCGCCTCGGCTGCCCTGCTTGCGGCGGGGACGGCGGTGCGCGGGGCCGGGCATCTCCGCGCCCCCGCGCTCTCCCGCGCCCTGCCTCCCCCCCCCCGTGGAAGTTACACACCTTTGGGTGGCGTTTCGCCGTCCCTGGTCCCCCACCCCACCTCCCGGCTGGCGCTCGCCCGCTCCCCCCGCTTTCCTTGTAGCTTTTGTAAGTTACACGTCAAAATGGCCGATCTGACATCGGTGCTCACTTCTGTTATGTTTTCTCCCTCTAGTAAAATGTTTATCGGTGGACTGAGCTGGCAGACCTCACCAGGTAAGGGAGGGAGGGGGGGACCCAGGCGTCCCCCCCTTCTTGGCTTCTTTATTGCTCTTTGTTATCCCGGTGTAGGAGGCCCCCCCCATTGGCTTCCCCACTTCTCCTGTGCAAGGTTATTCTTTTAAATAGCAAATCCTTTCCGAGCCCTCTACGCGACCTCTGTTGCCGAATTTCCCCCGCGTGTGCAGAAAATGCAAAAACAAAACAGAATAACAACCGAAAACTACTTTTGGTTTTTGTCCTTGATCACAATTTGCATTGCTTTTTTTCCTCCACACCTTCTCTCCCCCCCATCTCTCTCTCTCTCTCTCTCTCTCTTTCTCTCTCTCTACAGATAGCCTTAGAGACTACTTTAGCAAATTTGGAGAAATTAGAGAATGTATGGTCATGAGAGATCCCACTACGAAACGTTCCAGGTAAACCATTCCCTTCTGGATTTTGTTTTATTTTAGAACAAAGTTTAAGTCTTATTTTCGCAGGTGTCTTCCGAAGTAGCTAAGCGGATTTAGAATGGGGCTCAGGCGCATGGCTGGTCTGGACACCCCCCCCCCCCAAAGGTTATTGTTAATTAGGGCTGAACTCTGGATACAGAGATGACCATGTCTCGAAGTCATTTTCCTGTCGCTTCTTTTTCTCTTGTTTAAAATGACATTTGGCTTCATTCACTTTCCACGCAGGGTTTTTTTTTTTTTTTTTTTTTTTTAATGTGTGCCTTCTTCATACCGTAAGCTTTCCAAACTCTCAAGTCCTCTCTTGGAAAGGTGGGTGAATCTAAGTGCGTGGCTTTCTTTGGAATAAAACAAAGGGTTAAGAAAGGGAAGAGGAGAGAAACTGAGGTGGCGAGAGTGGAGGCTCCAGCCTTTTCGCAAGTTATCTTCAGCTGCCCTGACCCCGGCCACTTCCCCTGTTAACCTTGCTATTTTTCCTGGCAGGGTGGAGGGCTGTAGGCAGGAGGGGCTTTGGGGGAGGGAGTGGGACTTGGGGGTGTGTGGGGGCCCACTCTGGCTCCCCGTTCTGCATGAGGTCTCTCTCCTTGTTGCTTTCAATGGTGTCACATTTTCTTGTTTGTTTTTCTCCCTCTTTGTCTCCTTTCAGAGGCTTCGGTTTCGTCACGTTCGCAGACCCAGCAAGTGTAGATAAAGTATTAGGTCAGCCCCACCATGAGTTAGATTCCAAGACGGTAGGTTGCTTTTTATTGTTTCGTTGTTGTTGTTGTTGTTGTTCTTAGCCCCCTTTCAGGACCGGTATGGTCATTGACAGCCCCATTTAAAGGGACAGCGCCTTCTTTTGCTTTTGTGCTAGATAGATAGAACAGGGTACTTTTAAACAGTTATCGAGTTGGGTCACAAGTTTGTTTGCCATGGCTGGGTTTGGGGTTTTCTTTTTCGAGTCTGTCCCACTGCAGCTTTGCAGGCTGCCGGACTGAGGCTGGGGGAAGGGGGTTTGCCTCCGGGAGAGGCTGTCCTGGGGCCAAGGGACCTTGCAGAGAACTCCACCGGAGAGCCAATGGAACTTTGTCAGCCGAATACCAACTGTGGCTGTGGGAAGCGGCTTGTGGAGGCCACTGCTTGCTTTCTGGCTGAGGGGAGCCGGGTGAAAGGAGGGCAGGGGGCGCTCCTCTAGGTCCAGGCAACAGGTTTCTCTTGGGGCACTTGGGATTTGGAATGTGGTCGGGAAGGGAAGGAGACGCTAGCAGAGCAGAGCCGAGCTGAGCTGGGCATCCATTGGGGGAACTCCAGATGGCCTGAAATCACAGGCTGATACGGCCTTGGGTTTCAAAGTGGTTTTTTTTTCTTTCTTTTCTCTCTAGATCTTTTCATTTGTGTGTGGGTACTTTTTATAGCATTAGAAGTTTTTCCAATTCAGAGTCCGAGAGGGGAAATGTTGTTAGGTTGAGGTGGGGGTGGGGGAAGGCAGAGTGTCAGCCTATGATAATAAATTTAATGTTAGGGGAGGCCGGGTAGCCTGCAGTGTTTTGTTTAGCCCCTGTGTTGGCTTCCTGCCTCTCCTCCCTTCCCTGCACGTCTCCCTTGCTTTCCCCACAATTTTTACTGAGCGGCCTAAAGCTCCGGCCTCTGGATGACACTGGATGTGGTGCTGGGCAGGGTGGGCCTCTGCTTCTCCTGCGTGGGCTTGTGGGCTGAGGCAGGGGGTTGGGGGTTCTAGGTCCAGCTGCCCATTAGGAACTTGGGCGGGTGACTCCTGCCTCCAGGCCTCTGTTTCCTCTTCTGTAAAATAAAGTGGATAAGGTGATCTTCCAAGTCCTTTTGGCTTTTAACATTGGATGGAAGAGGAGAGGAGAAGAAACCTGGCAACCTTTGGTGCCCTCGGTTTCACTTACAAATTCACCCTTTTTCTCTTCCCTCTCTCCCTAAGAAAAAAACCTTAGTTTCTTTATCAATTGTCCTGGACCTGTCAAAGATTGTGGTCCAGTCTTTTTGTACTTTTAGATAATTTAATTTCAGGAATAATCCTTTGTAGGGTGATAACGGATATCTGAAGATTTTTTTTTTTCCTCCTTGATTTCTTGGCTTGATGTTTCAAAAAGCTATTCAAATTAAAGAGGAAAATCATTTCAAGGTACATTTGGGATTTCTGATCCACCCCCTCTCCCTACATGGGAGAAGTAGAGTAGTTTCTGTGGTGGCTGGTGGGTTGGATCCCTCTATGAAGTGTCTAGTCTGCAGATTTCCCTCCCTGATTGATTGTAGACATGTTTTGGTGGCTGTTATTTAGTATAACCTAGCTTTTGATTTTGTTTCAACGTTCAGTGCAGGAGGCAACAGCGGTTGGTTTATTGACATGGAAACGAGGATCTTGTTTACTGTTACCTTAAAAGCTTTGTTTAGGTAACGGCTATTCCCATCTAAAATAGTACCCTAGTGTTTCCTAGAGGACTTTGTAGATACAGTAAGTAGAGCTGTACCTAACTAACTAATGTTTTAATTTTTGGTAGTTTTGATTTTTGTTTGTTTTTAAAAACTAGTCGACAAGGATGTGCAAAAGGTTGGGATTTGCCATCTCGCCCTGACCCTTCCTGTGCTTTAGAGATCCCAGTGTACACTTTGTACGGGGAAGAACTCCAGTCTCAGTGTGACACACTGATGTCACCACACACCATTACAGTTCAGAATTGGCTTTTGGTCTTGTCATTTCAGGTACATGTGTGTGTGTGTTTTTTAGTGTCTCATGTTCTTCCTTACACCTTTCTTGCTTCTGGCCCCTCCCCTGATAAGCCCCTCCCTTTTCACTCTACAAACAAGGTGACTTATTGCAATTGTGCTGGTCAGCTAAAACAAACAAACAAACAAAAAACCAAAAGAAAACCCCCCAAAACTCCTCTGGGGCAGCATTTATGAATAGATGCCTCTGCCCCTACATTTGGTCAACAGAATGGAAAATCCACACCTGTTGTATTTCTCTTGTAGACAAGCTCTAGTCAGTGCCGGGCCCACCTGTAGATACAGTCACGTTAATCTTTATGGAAGGATAGCTTCCTAGATCAGAAATTTTTGTCTATTTTAGTTTTTGAAAAGTAATCTCTCATTTCTCAGGTGATGCTTAAAGGTAGAAAACATGGACGCAGACTTCTAGTAGGTCTTTAAGCTACCTTAAAAAAAGCACTAAGTCGTTATATATCTTCCTGGTTGGTGTACTAGAAGATGTAAGTCAGGGAACTGAGGAACTCATTCTGGTGTGCTTTTCCCCTGTGCTTTCCCCCAAAGCACTATTTTTTTTTCTTCACGGCAGAGCTGAAAACGAAGTTCAGATTAACTTTTTAAAAGAGAAAATTTTTATTATGAGAGCAAAGTCTATAAATAAATAACTTGTAGCAATATTCATGCCATTCCCAGTGTTGAATTTTACCCAAACATTCAGAAAGCTAGTGAAAACCAACAGTGGGTGTATCTATTTTTTTTTTTTTTTTTTTTGGTACCGGGGATTGAACTCCAGTACTTGTGCTTGTGAGGC